TAGCTAGTTTGTACTCCGCCATGGGAACCTTATCCACTCGTGAATCTCCTCGGAATTACGATCTCTGTTCTGCTTCTCCTCTTGCTGATATCATGGGAGTGGCAGTGCGATTAAAGACGCCGCATAAGAGATGCACAATTCGTCAGATCGGATTCCGTCAGGAACAGCTTAGCATTTCATCCCTTGTAAAAAACACCTGACAAACTAGTTTACAGAATTTACTACACATTCTCAAATGTAGCTCCGATGCGTGCCGTATCCCAAGGACCTGAACAAAATGTTATTTCTTCAGTTTATTGAATTCTTCTTTTGAAAATCGACGAGGACTTCGCCTCAAATGCATTACTGGTGAGTTTCGCTGAATACTAACAGCTTCCTTATTCATCTTAAACAATCAAATCAAGCATACAGCACAGCACTACTTAACATTGTTAGCTTATACAAAAGCACTAACCAGGACGATCAACTTGTCCACAATAATCGATCAATCACTATAATACTATGTGTGCGGTCACTGTCAAAAAAGCCTAAAGTATAGCCTAAATTGCAACGCAAAAAGCTTGCGCAAAAAAGCCAACTTCTGTATGAAGGGGTTTCGCAGCGCTCGCACATGCTCGTCCATTCGCTTATAAAGCGGCCGTACAGATTCACCAACGTACTTCTGACCGCATCCTTCGCATGTGACCAAATAGACTGTACCTCGCAACTGGCAGATCTTGGTATCGGTGCAGTACGTACAGTTATTCCGGCCACATTTTTCTTCATAAATCCGCGATGACGTCAGCAGGCTCTTCAAATTAGCAGGTGGTCGGAAAATTAGCTTTGCTGGAGATGAGACGACTTGACGATATAGTTCACCTTCTTTGCACTTCGTTCGTTGATGTAAGGTAAACAGCTTAGCACTGGTATTCCTCCATCAAAAAGAAGGGACGCCATGCGCTCGGGTGGCCAACAATCGTGTTAGCCGTTCTCCTCCAAGCATCCTTTTTCGATCTGGTCTCTGCCTGACCTCCCTTGAAATCCATTGATTTTCGTTGCGCATAAGGTTTCTTATCATTATTCGCTTTCATGTACAGGGGATGTGCACTTCGGGAATGCAAAAGGATATTTTTCGACATTGGTTTCTTGTACCAAACAAGTTCTTTCGCACCATGGTTTATCCTGATCTTTGCATTGGGAACGGAATAAAGCCGCTTTCATCTGGATACTCCACCGTGAACTGGATGTTCGGATCACACGACTTCAAATACTGAAGCATTGTGTGCATCACATCGGTGGTAGCTCCAATCACAAACAACATACCGTCTATGTACCGCTTTGTAAGAATATGATCCCCGAGATCAGTGATCTTCTTTCGATGCGGTCCAGGTAGACAATGGCAAGCAGCGAGGATATCCTCAATCCCATGGCCAGACCTCTCTTCTGTGAAAAAAATCATGCCATTGGGAACTGCGAAAAATGTTGCAACTTCAAGTGGACGTTAGCAGCTCCTCGCAGATTTTCCTCCATCAAATCCGAATGTATGTACTTCTTGTTGATGATGTCGTAGCCGATGATAATTTGAACACGTGTGATCCAAACATCCAGTTCACGGTGGAGTATCCAGATGAAAGCGGCTTTATTCCCTCCTCAATGCAAAGATATCAGGATAAACCATGGTGCGAAAGAACATTGTTTGGTACAAGAAACCAATGTCGAAAAATATCCTTTTGCATTCCCGAAGTGCACATCCCCTGTACATGAAAGCGAATGTGATAAGAAACCTTATCACAACGAAGTCAAGGATCTGCACAGTGGAGTCAGGAGAGATAGATCGGTAAAAAGGATCTTGGAGCGAGAACTGCTACTACGAGTTGCACCCGAGGAACATGGCGCCTTCTTTGTTGATGGAGGAATACCTCTAGTGTTGCCTTACATCAACGAACGAAGTGCAAAGAAGGTGAACTATATCGTCAAGTCGTCTCATCTTCCAGCAAAGCTAATTTTCCGACCACCTGCTAATTTGAAGAGCCTGCTGACGTCATCGCGGATTTATGAAGAAAAATGTGGCCGGAATAACTGTACGTACTGCACCGATACCAAGATCTGCCAGTTGCGAGGTACAGTCTATTTGGTCACATGCGAAGGATGCGGTCAGAAGTACGTTGGTGAATCTGTACAGCCGCTTTATAAGCGAATGGACGAGCATGTACGAGCGCTGCGAAACCCCCTTCATACAGTAAGTGCCTTCTTATCGCGGCCACCGCACACTCCTACACCATCGCAGCAGACCACCGCCCCTCTCTTTAAAAGTTGTGGCTCTCACACCGCATCGCAAAGAATCCGCCATTGGAAAGAAAGTTGCCTCGAAGCACTTCGCCTCATCAAGCGCTGCGTATCACCGGAGCATCAACTAATCAGGGATAGACTTGTGGAACAATGAGACTCTCGTAGTCGGCATGGGCGATAAACGAAATCCTAAGAAATTGGCACGCGCGTCGCATTTCTCGAGTGTCTTTTAGTTGCATAGGGTGTTCCATCTGGGTAAGACGTTCGTTAGCTATAATTAGGCTCTGACAGTGACCGCACACATAGTATACTAGTGATTGATCGATTAAGGTGGACAAGTTGATCGTTCTGGTTAGTGCTTTTGTATAAGCTAACAATGTTAAGTAGTGCTGTGCTGTATGCTTGATTTGATTGTTTAAGGTCTGAGGAGCTGTTAGTACAGCGAAAGCTCACCAATAAAGCATTTGAGCGAGTCCTCATTTTCAAAAGAAGAATTCAACCACATGAGGCTCAGGGATAGTTCAATTATACCATATCTTCAGTTTATGTTCATGACAAATGAACCTTATTTTTTAGTATAGCCGCTACAGCAACCAACCGTTGGTAATTAACCTTGGCTGAACATAACAGCCATACTTAGCCAGTTTATGTGACACTTAATTCGTGTTGGACGGGCCTCCTCGATGAGTTTGGTTTCTTCTTATTTCAACTTGCCTTGACCCTCATGAGAGAACCCCTGAAAGTCTCTTCAGAGAATACACAACCTTGAACTCTCCATTTTTATTTTATTTTTCTCCTACGCTCTCCTTTTATTTGGCTCCTTTCGACTTCACGATTGCATGCATGAAGCCCATTGAACTCTGCATACCAAAACCTTCAAATACGCTGTCTGCTGATTGCAGTTGCACTGCCAGTACTCATGATACAATTCACAGGCCTTCTTGGCACTAACCTCGATTCGCAGAACAATTCAGCTGAACACAAAAGTGGAATGCCTACACGTCTTGTTCTACTGCCGCCAAACAAATCACTAAAGATCGTCCTTTACAATCGTGTTTTCAGCGGGTTCACAATTTATTTTCTGTTATGGGAATACGTTTATTGACGACAATATTCCTGTCACAATTACTCGGCGTTGCTTCTTATACGTTTCTGAATCGATACTATGAACGGCTCACCCGAGACGATCCACAAGTGAGTTACTAATGCTCTCAGAAGTTGTTGTACTAGCAACGATGTGACGTCGGCTGAGCACGATCTCATGTACTTGCGGCGCAGGGATGTTGAAACCGTAAATTTCCATTCAGGATGGAAAACAGCAGCAGAGTACTTTCTAGCTGCTTGGCTTTGCATACTGTAGTATTGTCACGTTAAATCAATTGGGTCCTGGTGCGAATGCCGCGCGCATCGCGCAAAGTTCTAAAATCAACCGCGACAAATGGGGTCGTTCCTCCATCGACCTTCAGAGTACCAAACATTTTTTACACTCGGAAGATGCAGTTGAAGAGTAATTGCAGCTTCATGGACGAATCATTAAGAGCTCATTACTGAAGTCTGAGGGGCACGCGACCGCGCGCAATACAGCTTTGCCCGTCACTGCCTTCCCCTCCCTGAGACCGGATGGATTCCGGTCCTCCGAATCTTGTAAGGCAGAGCCGGGGAAGAACAAGGACCTCTTTCTCGTGAGGAGCAGGATCAGACGTGCTGACCTGTGGCCCCTCCCAACTACGATAGCTCTAAATTCGCGTTCCCTGGCGTCATGCCATAAGTTGTTGACACCTGTTTTCACCTTTCGCGCTAAAGTGTCACATAACTCGATGCGATTTCAGGCATCTTTTAACCCATTGAATCAAGCACAATTGATTGAAGACGACACAACAGATTTTGCCGACGAATCACCGGGGACCTCAATTGATTTCATGGTTGTACCGGTAAGCTCTTACGCTTTTTAATAACACCACAAACTCGTCGACCGGAGATACCCTCTAATACCGTAAACAGACGATCATGACGTCATAACTCGCACATTTTCGCAAGTTTCATCATTAAGGGTGCTCTAGGATGGATATTGATTTTACGCGCGGTACCAAGTCGCTGTGCACTCGGCACACTGCTCAGCATGTGGAAACAGACTAAAACTGACTTTTGACCACAGGATTTTCAGGTCCAAATAACGAATCCATTGTTCAATTTCATCTCAAAGGCAGGCCAATTTTACCGGTATCTTCAGTCAGGAAGACAATGACACTGCATGAGGTGAGTACTTCTATCATCATTATAAACAGTCAGCGTTGTCCGATGTGGATGATGGGGAGTGTCAGTGAGGACTAGGGCAGGCACCAGCTCGTTTCAAGCGATAAAACCGCATCATCTATTCCGTATCAGTCGTTTTTCCACCAGTTGCTGTCTCTCATCTGCTTCAGCGACTGGTAGAAAACGGGTTGGCGCGCCAAACCCAGCTGCACTGCCACGCCCCATCATTCGCTACGGATAAGACGTCTAGAGAAAAATTTTTTGATGGCACGTTCACAGGAGTTCGAGGCCTTTTGCGCTGTCAGAGCTTAGTCAAAATCCAATCCGTTGAAAAACAAGAGATGAACACAAGGAGAGCTCAGGCTTCCGTTCTCTTGCCTAGGGGCGTGGCCAAAAGTCATCGTGACGAGTTGTGCTCGAACGCTCGGCTGATTCAACAATCCGTGGACTCTCAAACCAGCTGTTACGCGCTTTACCAACTGCCTGTCAGGCAATACTGCTCCACCGGAAGAGACTGCCGGTCAGGAGACCCTTACTGCACATTGCTCTGTAAAGCTAAGCCAAAAAAGGGGTCCAGCACGACATAAACCGCAAAGGTACCCAAGAAGAGTTTCATCATGGAGTGAGAAACACTATGATGATGGGTATGTTTTACAACTTATCCCACGCTCTTTCCGCTCAGTATTGAACCGCTCGCCCCCCCGCTATTCCTGGTGTCCAGGGTATCACGACACTCGGATCCACTGTCACTTGCGTACGCGGAGCCGAGGAGAGACCTTCCTATACCGGCGATGTCTGTTACGTGAGTCATTCGTCCCAGGAATCAAGTCTCGAACGGACCCTAAGAAGAAAACAGGTTTTTTCTGAAATAAACGCCAATTTGCTACTTCTTTCTGGTTTCTTCGTATGTAGATGCTGGCAGTCTTAATGATGGACGAATGCGCTACGGTTAGTGTTTCGCTCGGAACTGAATGCTGGGCATCACTTCCAATTTTCCAGTGAAGAACCTTTGAGAGCGATTTGACACTTTTTATGAACATAATAATCATGAGAAACATGTATAAGCATTGTGAGAACCTAGAGCAAACAAAAGCAATTTTACTGAATAAAAATTTGGGTTCTTTTATTCTCTACTCCGATGTATTTGTTGAGACCTATCTATAACTTGGCATCCGGCACGATACCGTACGGAAACAGGTGCTTTTGTGTGAGTAATATGCAAGGAAATAAATAGTTGAGTGTCTCTCTGGGATACATATATATTAATCTAATTAACCTAGAAGGGATTGGTTTGGCAAATAGAAAGACAGAATCATGAAAAGCAATTGGTGAATTTCCAGTTCTTCCAGCTGTGAGTTCCGAGAGCGTGACATTAAGGTTATCCTCGACATCCGCCTCCGGGGCATCCTCCACCTCCACCCATGTCGCCTCCGTAGCCGCCACCGCCATAAGGGTTGCCACCATAGCCGCCAAAGTCTCCTTAATGATCTGCATTAAAAAAGAGGGATAGATGCTTGGCTTCAAGAGGGTTGAGAAAGAAAACGACATCATTAGCGCACCGCTTTTCTCCCTACTTCTATGGCGTTGAAGAAGACGGTGAGAGAAGAACTGCCGTCTGTCTCTCGAAACAGTTTGTGAGAACTTACCTCCCATTCCGCCGCCCATGCCTCCACCATAGCCTCCATAACCGCCACCATAGCCGCCCATGTTTCCTGTAATACAAGCTGTCAGTTCTCACAGACCGTAAAATACACAATCATATCACAAAGAAGATGCTACTAACCTCCCATTCCTCCACCAAATCCACCACCACCACCACCATAGCCACCATATCCACCGTAACCATCACCTCCCATTCCTCCGTATCCTCCCATTCCTCCACCGCCTCCATATCCACCTCCATAGTCTCCACCACCATAGCCGCCGTTCATTCCTGCAAGTAATAGTGTTTGCAATAAGTTACAAGAGGAATAACATATCAAAAACTTTACCTCCGTATCCTCCTGCTCCGCCTCCCATTCCGTAACCGCCACCGCCGTATCCACCATAGCCGCCATAATCGGGGCCACCTCCATAGCCGCCATAACCACCTCCGTATGGGCCTCCTCCGTATCCTCCGAAGTCATCGCCGCCACCGCCATATCCTCCCATTCCTTAATGAAATAAACAAATTAAAAGGTTACTGACAGAAGAAAAGCAGAAAAAGGCGTGGAAAAATCCGGAAATCTCTAGAAATGAATGTTACCGTAGCCGCCATTAAACCCATTGAACGGGCCACCCGCTCCGCGTCCAAATGATCCATATCCACCACCGAAGCTCGAGAAAGCATCTGAAAAAAAGCACCGCTCCTCCACTGTTCTGCTGTTATTGAAACCACACTGTGCGATTACTACATGAGAGGTGGATCCCTTCAGCGTGTGAGATGAACAGATTTATGGACGTGGAAATGCAGCAGTCTTTTAGATTTGGAAGTTCGTGGTAATCAAGCTAGGGGTTGTGCGCGCTAGTCGATGCGCGATACACA